GCTGGATTCGTTCCTGTTCTCGTCTCCTTTCCTGTTCTATGTGCATTCTTTCTCTCTCCAATCTCTCCCTCTCCAAGCGCTCTCTGTCAAGACGCTGCCTTTGAAATTCCAGCCGTTCGCGCTCTCTCAGGAGCCTCTGTCTTTCATCCCGCTCATGAATAGCTTGAAGCCGTTGTTCTCGTTCTCGCCTCTCTCTCTCTCTAATTGAAAAAGAGATATTTTGTTTTCAATTGAGAATCTTAAGTCTAAGCTTTATTGCTTCTGTGTTTTGGGTCGGGTTTCTTGGCGGGGTTTTTTTGTTGTTGTTTGGTTGGGGTTTTGGGTTTGTTCGTTTCTTTGTTTGTTTTTTAGTTTCTATGTTCTTCTCACTACCTGCTTAAATGTGAATGATCTACATCGCAGCTTAGTTTTTAAAAAAAGAAGAAAAAAGGAAAAAAGTCTACACAGATGAAAGCAGCAAGGGTAAGCATTCTGCATAAGCAATATGGTATCTACACTAAGTCGGCTCCAATAAAGCTTTCATAGAGCACAGCATGTCCCAAGACAGAAGTCTGACAAACAGAAAGTATTTACAAACTTCCAGGGAAAAATCAAGAATGGAAATTCAAATCTGATCGAGTGGAATGCAAGACCTGTAACCACCTACAGAAGTTATTATTTAACAAGAGTCTCCCGAAAAGCACAGGCTTAGTGAAGACCTATTCCAGTAGTAAAAACCTTCATAATTTGGCATTATGTCTGTTCTATTGATAGATGAGTATCAAATCGATCTGAGATACTGATCTTAAAGGGCCAGCTTGACACTACTTTGCAGCTTGTCCAAAAGCACAGATAAGGGAAGTAAAAACAAACACCATTCAAAGCTTAGAGTGGCACTGAGAAAACTCACCGGCGTCTCTCCGTTTCCCTGATTTCTCGTTCCCTTTGTCTCTGACGTTCACGTTCTCGCTGTTCTTTGATTTTATCAAATGATAAAATATCTTGCTTTTCTTTGCTCTCAGATTTGCGATCCTGGCTTTTTGTACTCTTGAGTTAAATAAAAACAATACATTAGCTGAACACAGTCCATCTTTAGCTAAAGTTTCTAGGTAAAAAGCCTACCTTATCCCAACCTGAACAAAACAGACTATTGTACCTTCCCAGATGTAAACAATGTTGTGATTCCACTGAAAAGTAGGTCAGGGAAAATCAACCTGAATTTGGCTAAAACTTCTAAAGAGATTAAGTATATATAAATACTAGGGGCACATGATCTAACTTGTACCGGTGGCAAACTATATACCCCTTTAAAGGTCACTGGTCACCATAATCCACACCCAGGGAAACACATCATCTTAACACCATTTTCTGATTGTGACTCTACTTCTTCAATTAAGATGGCAGCAACAAAAACTATAAAGAAGGCGAAGCATAAGCATTTACCCTTGCAGGATCATTAATACCCTAATGCTTTTTAAAAAGCGATAAAAGGTCAATTGTTCCCAATATGCAAGGAAAAACACCCCTTCAACTATATGTATATAAAGCTATTTGACACCTATTTTCAGAAAAAGCCTTCTCTGGAAATTGTACTTACCCTCTCTTTTGATGTAGAAGTTTTCACACTAATAACTGGTTCTCCTTTAGATTTATCCATTACCACTGTCCTTTCAGTTCCTCGGCTCCCTAAAAAACAAAATACATCTGAGAATAAATAATACACAAGACATTCAGAAATTCTTGTGAGATTTAAAACTGTCGAGACACTAAGCAGTAACAAGTTACTTTATTGAGGTTTTAACTAACTTACGGAAGAATACATTTATTATTTAAATAGCTTACCAAGATTTGGCCAAGTTGGGGATGGGGACAGTAAAGCTATCACAAAATTACAGTAGTGTTTTCTGGCAGGGATAACACTTTAAAAAAAGCAAAATTAATTTCATTCCTGTCTGCAAAATACACCCCTTTGCCACAGTAAAAAAAAAAAAAAAAACACAAACCAAACAACACCAAACAAAAAACCTCAACACTCAAAAAAAGCACACAGAACCACACACTGTGTCAAGTGACAGTTACATAAAAATCAGATTTACTATTTTGAGTATTTAAACCCCAGTAATTATGAAAACTTTGTTGCTAAGTTACCGGTGTTGTAAGTCAGAAAAAAGTTTTCAGGGTCTTTACTAGTGTTGTTTCTTGTTCACCAGTATTACTAAGTACGCTTCATGGTCTTTCTACTGAATTATGAATCACATCTAATAAAAACACTGAGGTTTGCAGAAGCTGAAGTCTTCTAATCACTCAAAATTCTGAATGTTTATGCTTGTTCTTCCACTTCCTACTTAGCTGATAAAGGAAATTTTTTTGGATGCAAAGTACAAGCTTTGTTGCTGACACTTATATTTTTTGTTCAACTGGTTTAAATTATTTTTTTTTTAAAACAAGTATCCTTGAAAACATCTCTGAAAGGCAGCTAGAATTACCTGATTTGCTTGCCCTCGATCTATCAGAGGATCCAGCTTTTTGTTCATCTTTCTCTTTTCCTTCTTTTTCCTCTTTCCCATCTTTTTCTGATTTCTTAGCATCATCTTTTTTGTCAGTCTTCTCCTCCTTCTTAATACCAACAGACCTATAGGTAAACTTTGTTTTAATAGAGAACCTAAAAAAATGTGCTATAACCACTCTGACCAAGCCAACTTATCTAAAAAAACCACCACCAAAAACCAAACCAAACCAAAACTCAACACAAAAACCCTGCAAAAAACTCTCAAAAAATCACTCCAAATACCTTCCATGCTGCTGTGCTGAAGCCAATGCATACTTGTACGCATGGTTAAGAGTAGCAACCAATACTAAGCCAAAACTGACCAAAAGTGAGAAACAACAGATAATCTTTCTGAATATTTGGAGATTTTGAGTGCTAGTAGTAGTCTCCTGTTTTGCCCGTAAATAAAGTTCATGCTTAGCATAGGGGGAAAAGGGCCCACTGAGGTAGAGGGTGAGCTCTACCAGAAGAGCTTTTGTAAACAAATACCTTAAACACCAAATGCAAGTAGGCCAGCCTGCCAAAGCATCTCCTTTGCCAAATCTTTTAAAATTTTATGACAAAACAAAAATTAGTAAAGCAAAATGCCTCTTTCAAAAGCAACAGACCCCTTGAAAAACAAATATTGAAGTATCACTCATTAACCATGCAAATGGTCTATCAACAAGACAGAATAAATTCTGGAAATATCTGTCAGTTAAAAGAGCAGACCAAGCCAGAGGCAGATCAGAGGATAAATGATTTTGATAAAAATAATGGTTTACCTAGAAATGAGCTGATTGGGTATCTCCTGATATAACTGACATGTTTTGATACTAAACCCTGAAGAGGTCAGTATATCCGAACAGAGGACCAATTAAGATGCGCTTACTGCTGTAGAACACCATTTTCAATTTTTCATGTATTACTTCTATTTCAGATGCAGTATGAAGCAGCAAAACATTTATCACAGTTACTGTTCACTTTGGTCACATGGCTGCATTTCAACTGAGTGGCCTTTAAACATAGAAAAATAGCAAAAAACACTTTACTTCTCAGATTTGGACTCTGCAGAATGGTGCTTGTCTTTTTCCCTCCTTGTTTCACCTTCCTTTTTGTCTGAAGGCTTTTTCCCAGCTGGTTCATTTTTTGCCTAGAATTTTAGGCAGATATATTTTTATATTAAGAGACAGACATTAAACTTGCACAGTTTTATCATCATTACGCTGTCATGGAATAGCTACCACTTACCTTTTCTACAGAAATCATTTTTCCATGCAGCTCTGTTCTGTGGAGATGATTAATACACTTAGTGGCTTCTTCAGATGTTGACATTGTAACAAAGCCGTAACAGCGAGCACCAGGACTGCGAGCATTTGTCACTACTTTTGCACCGACCACCTTTGGGAAAAAAAAATTAATTCTGTGTTTGCAGATCTGTCGGCAAATTAAGTTCAACTTAATCACCATATGAGCAGCTGTATCTACCAGTGTAGCACCTATCCACTTTTAACAGGGAGGAAACGTAGTTGGCACACAACAGTCCATCAGCATTCTGGCTATTGCTGTAAAAGACAATAAAAAATGCTTCTATAAATACATTAACAACAAAAGAAGGACTCAGGAGAATCACCCTCCTTTATTGGATGCAGGGGAAAACACAGTGACTAAGGAAGAGGAAAAGGCTGAGGTGCTTAACGCCTTCTTTGCCTCACTCTTTAATAGCAGGACTAGTTGTTTGCTGGGTACCCAGCCCCTTGAGCTGGAAGACAGGGATGGGGAACAGAATGAAAAAAGTTAGGTGGCAGTGTTGATCTGCTTGAGGGTAGGCGGGCTCTTCAGAAGGACCTGGACAGGCTGGATCAATGAACTGAGACCAACAGTAGGAGCTTCAACACGGCCAAGTGCCCCAAGTGCCAGAGTCCTGCACTTGGGCCACAACAACCCCATGTAACTCTACAGGCTTGGGGCAGAGTGGCTGGAAAGCTGCGTGGCAGAAAAGGACCTTCAACTGACAGCCAGCTGAACGCAAGCCAGCAGTGCGCCCAGGTAGCCAAAGGCATCCTGGCCTGCATCAGGAATAGTGTGGCCAGCAGAACTAGAGAAGTGATTATCCCACTGTACTTGGCACTGGTGAGGCCGCACCTTGAGTACCGCGTTCGATTTTGGGCACTGCAGTACAAGAAGTACATTGAGGTTTTGGAGAGTGTCCAGAGAACAACAATGAAGGTGGTGAAGGGTCTTAAGAGTAAGTCTTATGAGGAGCAGCTGAGGGACTTGGGATTGTTTGCTCTGAAGAAAAGGAGGCTGAGGGGAGGCCTAATTGCTCTCTACAACTACCTGAAAGGAGGGTGTAGAGAGGTGAGCGTTGGTCTCTTCTCATAAGTTACAACCGATAAGACAAGAGGAAACGGTGTCAAGTTGCGCCAATGGAAATATAGGTTAGACATTAGGAAAAACTTCTACACTGAAAGGGTTATCAAAGACTGGAATAGGCTGCCCAGGGAAATGGCAGAATTGCCATCCTTGGATATATTTAAAAGCCATCTAGATATGGTGCTCAGAGACACGGTTTAGAAGTGGGCCTGGAAAAATTAGAAAACGGTTGGACTTGATGCATCTTAAAGGTCTTGTCCAGCCATAACAATTCTATGATCCTCAGAAGACAATGTTGCTAGCCTCATTTGACAGGCAGCAAAGAAAATTTACCATTTTAACTTGACCTCTGTACTGTTGGGCCATCCATGTACTAGAAGTGCCTCACTAAAGACTACTCCACAAAATATGACATGAACAGCATTTACACCCAAGTCAAGAGCAACACAAACACATCTCAAAAGGTTCAAATTTAAAATTATTCCACATGTATTCTCAAAAAAATATAAAACAAACACAAAATTGTATGAAACAGATAAATCCACCTGTGGAACACATTGTTGATACAGCTCTGCTGAAAAAGACGCCGCCATAATAACAAGCTCAAAATTCACCTTCAAGTTGTTGAGCAGTTCAATAACTTAAGGAAGACATATCTATGTGAGGGACAGTGGGGTGTAATAATAAAAATTTTAAAAACACACACACCCTGAAACCAAAACAAAAAACCTACCACCACTTTATCTTTTCTTACAGGACGTTTCTGCTAGTTTTTATCCACAAATGAATCTCTGACAGCACAGAGGCATGCACTTAGTGACACAAACATTGAATATTACTTGCTGAAATGTATTAGGAGAAGGGGAGATGGCCATGGAAAGAGTTGCCTTCCACAACTTCTGCTCTCATATCCCAGCTGGCACTGAAGAACAAATGGAAGCCTGCCCTCAAAGGCTAGATTTCTTGAAATGGAACCGTTTAAAACAGCATTAGCCATTGCTGGACAACCAAGAGACTAGTGCACTAGATGATGACCCACCAGTCTCTCCTGTCGAGAATTGCCTCATTTTTAGAGATACGTGCACAGTGATTCTCTGAAACCTGGATTTCTGCCTTCCCCCCACCCCTTCTGACAACCTTCTTCATGAAGTATGCTAATATCAGATACAGAATTTCAAAAGAACACGAGAAAGTTAAGTGCTTAGCCTACCTAGTTACTCATTAGGAAAAATAATAGCTAACTTTAAGGCATTCTTTTAAATTGATAAAATCGTTTGTTAGTTTACGTATCTGCTACGTACCTTTCCATACTTGCTGAAAAGATTCTTCAAGTCTGTAGCTCTAGTTGAGGATGAAAGTCCACTAACCCACAAATTTCTGCCAGAACCACTACCCGCACGGCCTAAGGTACAAAAAAAAAAACCCAAACATAAAAGACCGTATAGCACAAGAATGCAACAGTGAAAAAGGTAATCGCCTTACTAACTCCACTTTTCTTCTTCACAGACCTTGTCAAATGCAATTTTATTTCTCCCTCTTCTAATCAATCGGAAAATCAGACACATTGTAGCCTGCGAAAATGAAATTCTGAACTCCATACTTGATGTGTATTTGAACAGTCTTAATGAGTTTTCATCTACATATTGTCTTCCTACACTTCAATTGCTTTTATGAGAATTACAAAGTACTAAATGTTAATTCACGAGAGACCTTTTTTTAACTACTGTCAGCTAATAAGGTTACAGAAGTTACATGAACTGAAATTTACAATTCATGTTTTGAAGGCCTAAGTTACAAAGACATTGAGGGTTCACTGAATTAACAGTCCCCACCAGAACTGCCACAGAGTATAAACCTATAGATTTAGTCATCTGTTAAAACTTTTGGACTAATACTGGTCTTGCAGGTATCTGTCACCATTCACAAAGCTAGTGGGACTCCAATATAACTATCACAGTAAAGATACAGACATGCTTAGGGAATTAACAAGACACAAAAAATAAGCAATGCAAGAAAGGCAACTCAAAAAGCTAGTAGGACTATTACTCCATTTGCTCCTTTGAATCATTACTTACTACAGTTCACTCACAAGTAATGGTTAGATTTGATCCTATATTTTTTTCAAGTAATTTGTACTTTTTTTAAAAAACACATACCTTTCTCATCTTTTATCTTTGTATCTCTGTCCTCCTCAACAGGGCTAAAGACAAAACACCATGTTACTCAACTGATCATAGGCAAAAAGAACATTAAATCTACATTGTGCACTAAAATTGGATACCTACCAGTAAATTAGTTCTGAAATAAATGCTATCTTTGCGAATTTATAGAAGAGTGACAGAAAATATGGGATTTGTATCCTTAATCAGACAATTCTGTTTTGCAGATGCCAGAAATAAGAGTAATTTAAGAAAACAACCTTTGAAGGTTGAGGAAGGAAAGCAATCAAACCCTCTGTGTTTAAAAAAAATAAAAACCTGAACATGGAACAATAAAACAGATTCTTTAGGAACAGGCTACAATTTCATCAGTCTCGGTGGCCAATTGAAGGAAACAGCTTATTCGCATCACTTAATGACCAATGAAAAAAGATAGCATCTGGTCTATAACGGAGAAAAAACAAACCTCTTTTTCTGATCACCACCCTCACTGGTTGAGGACTCTTTAGTAGCAGGGGATTCCTCAGAATTAGCTTTGTCTTCTATTTTCTTGGCATCTTCTTTGCTATCTTTGGCTTCGGGACCTGCGCCTTTTTCCGCTGTTTCCCCACTAGAGGCTTCCAGGCCTTGGGAGCGTTTGCTACTCTGATCGCTTAGGGTCTCTACTACTAAAGATTCAGAGTCCGGTTTCTCTTCATCTATTGTCTGTTCACTTGTCTCCCCTTTTGCTACAACTAAACGCTTTGCTTCCTTCCTTGCCATAGCTTGTGCTGATTTGCTGTCCAAATCTAAAGCATCTTCCTCCAACTGAGCGGCAGCAAGAGCGTCCTCTTCCTCTGCTAGCCTCTTGCCTGGCACCACGTTACTTGCTTCCTGTGTATGTGGCCGCTCCGCTTCAGAAGTTTCTTCGTTAAGTGGTTCAGATTTACAAGTTTCCCCCAAAATGTCGAGTATTTTCTCATTTTCTACGGATTTAACAGGAATAGAATGGCACAAGATTTAATCACCAGGGAAATACAGCAATTACAAATGTGGAACTGGCATGGCTGCCACACTAACACCAAGAGAACTTCTAAGCTACACAGAGATTGGAAAACCCTAGTGTACACAGTGTTAAAAGTACTACGCTAACTGCTGTCTCACAAACTACCAAATCAGCCCTAAAATGTTAACAGGGAAGAAAAATGCTCCCAAAGATTTAACAAAATCCTTCTGGTTGATCCTTGATACTCTTCATGAAATCGTTCAGCTCTGTTTCTTCTCTAGTTAGCTTCCAGAGTCCGAGATGCTTAACTGAACGTATCAAGGCACTGAGAGTTCAATATCCAAATTTCTGTGAAATTCTTTCAGCAGACTGTCCAACATGAGAACTGGGCATCTTCTGATGGTGCATGAGTGTGTTTGCAGTCCAGAAAGCGAATAGGATCTGTAGAAAATTCCTGTGATGACATTGTATTCCTTCTTCTGGAGTCCAGTCACTCTTTAATTTCTGTTCTGTACCAAAGCTTTGTATTACCTACCCTCCTCTATTTTTATTCATAGAACTACAATACAATGTGATATCACAAGATCTGTTTTCAGAACCTTTAGATCTCTAAGGATCAATCCTTAACTCCACTGTAGGTAACAGTTCTATGGAACCCTTTCATCACATCAAGTACATGATTTCAAAAAGCAGTTATTCACAGATCTGGTGATATGACTGGGTTTCCAATCTCTATGACCCTGCACAACCTGGATTGTCCACCATAATAATGTACACTACAGTAATGCATTTAAAAAAAAAAAAACAAACAAAACAAAACCACCAGGGATACAAAAAGAATTAAATTAAGAATGAAACTGTTTCAATGCCCAGGACCTCTTTTTTTCTTCAATTAGAAAAAAAATAATCACAATCCAAAACCAAAAAACCAAACCAACAAACAAACAAACAAAACAACAAAAACACAAAACCAAAAAAACAGTACCTGGCTCCAAAGGTAATTCTTCAAGTTCCTGCAGTGAAAAAATTAAAAAAAAACCAAGAAATATCACTATTCTTTAAGAATTCAAAACGTTACTCTGAATGACACACATGCCCCCGAGATAGCAGAGAATTTAGGGAAAGTTAAAGAGTCAGTATAATTTATCCTAGTTCAGTTTTGAAAATGTTGAATTTTAAATAAATTTCTTACGAGAAGGTTTAACATTACTGTTTAACACCTTGAAGTTTTATGAAATGTGTAAAAACATCAATATTTTTTAAACTCAGACACCTGTTGTACACACAGTACACATTCGCATGGGTAAACAAATGTAAGCAGCATAAAGCAAAGCTTATCTTTGTGTTCTCCTTCTCTACAGTCTACTTTATGAAGTCTGCTTTCTGAAAACGGGATCGACAGCAATACCAGCTTCACCTGGAGCTACAAGTGTCCTTAATCTACTATGAGCTATCTGGAAGCAAGGCCAGTATTTCAGGAATAGATCAGTTTCGGCTTTCCTGTCAACATGGCATACATACCTTTAATGTAAGTTAAATATAACATAAGGCACTGAACTGGTTTATACAACAGATAGAAATAATCAATCTACCACCCAGACTCAACATGACATATACATCATATATATATTAGAAAGGCATTCCTTCCTATTCTTTGTAGAATACGAATGCACACACTGTGTACTACCTGCACATACACTGTTTCAGCCTACAGTTGATATGGCATATATTATGCCTTCTTGTTTGTAATGAAAAATTGGTTACCATTTACCTTTATTATGGTTAAATCAGATGAAGAAGCACCTAAACTGTTTCCAACATCTTCAATCTCTGCCTTTAAAAAGTAAACAAAGACATTTTGTTATCTATAAAAGAATGGTATTGTAAATGAAACCTGAATGAGAAATTGAAGATTTTATTTCACTGACAACTGGTATTAAGCAAACATACCTAGCATCCAGAACAACCAATAAGAGTAAAAACTGACCAATGACCCCCACACCTCTTCCCAATCCCCACCGACTGAATAAGCTTTCTCATTACCTCTCAAATAGGTTGGTCTGCTCACAAAAAACATTTTAAGG